GCTTATTAAAAGGCAAATAAGCTCTGGGTATTTGTCTGAACAGTCCAGACTCTAAATTACAAAGAAATGGGTGAAAGGCAGGTACACCCTGGATTGGTCGCCAGTCTATCAGAAACTTTAATGCAGAATTGGCTGTACAATCGTAGTTGCACAGTACAAGCTCACTGAATGGCTCCACTTTAGCACACTCAGAAAAGCAGTTATGGCCAAGGGCATTTTGATCGTTGTTGTTGAAGATGAGTAGAATTGTGCTCAGTCACTTTCACATCAGCAACCTGCTGGTCACAAGTTTGCTGGTAGTTTATGGACCAAGGAAATCTCTTAGATTCCAGGCACTTCCTTGTGGTAACTAGGGGACATGCAAGAACTCCATGAATAGTCTGAGTCACTTTATCAGAGTATAAAACAAAAAGAAACTCAGAAAATATGTGTGTAAGACTAGTTGTTAAAAGATTAAAAATAGATTAAAAATAGATTTTTGAACAAAAGTAGAGCTTCAGACTCCCTAAGGTGTTGTTTATTAGATGCATTGATGCATGGAGTTATGCTAGCTGACTGTGATGTATTAAATATATAAACCAGGCAGTGTCATGATAACCTACATTCTATAGCTTTGTTTATTTATTTTTCTTTTCAATCACTGATCAAAAACAGCACCGCTCTGAACTAGAATAACTTTAAAATTCTCATTTATTTGACCTGGATCACTGGTTTTCCCTCAGTTTTGATGATCACCTGAAAATACAATAAAACTGTACGCTAATATATGAAATATGATGTATGTAATTAGCAAACTTATGCAGTCATGGAGGAAGGTTAGTAAACAAAATAACTTTGAAGGCAAACGTGTGATTGAAACCACTTCAGGTGGAATTTTAATGAATGTGGCTTTGATATTCTTATCAACTTAGCAAAAAAGAGGCACCTCCGCTTTATCCATCGCACAGCAGCTGTATAGTAACAAATATGTTGCTCGCTTGATTTTTGCTTTTGCATAAGAGAACCAGTGAAAAGTGTTTAATAACACAAGACAAACCAATCTTCCTGATGAGATTTCACACCAAAACCTGCCTGCTACCCAACATGATGAAGATTGCTTTTCTTTTCCTTTTGTTTCTTTTTTTTTGGGGGGGGGGTTCTTCAGGGAGAAGATAAGGTGAGTAGGTAAATGCATAACAAAACAACATTAGAAACAATATTTGTATATGTCTATAGTTCTATATAATTGTATAAAGAAAAAATATACATATGAGTGCATATATACCCAAAAAGCTGTCTGTCCCATTAAATTTTCATTAATCCGTTGAATGTCTTGAGACAATTTTCTTCACACTTCTGATTACATTTTGATGGCCAGAGTTTTTTAATTACTGGAAAATGTAACACAAATAGAGGGATTAAATAGTATAGCAATGACCGCATCTTCACTGCACTCTGTTTTCCTGTAACCTAGGAGAACATGCTGACACTAATCTTTGGTGTCCATCTAATAGGTAGGTTCAGGGTCTTGACTATATAAGTCATTAGACTGACTGACATGTGTTTAAACTGCAGCCTCACCTGGTGGGGCACCCAGCTGCAAGGTGACAATTTTGTTAGTTATCACGTTCAATTCTCTGCTGTATGACGGACGCAAGAATCATAAAAATCATCAAACAGAGCAAGT